TTGCCCAAAGAAAGGGATAATGAAACCTCAAACTTAAGATGTATAATTGATTTAAATCGATGGTACAATTACCACTACCCCTCCCCCACCTGCAATTGCCTCCACTAAAATATATTTATTTTATGTGTATTGTTCATAGTGTACATGTTGTCTCCTCCCTTGACAAAAATCTAAGTCCTTTGAGGGGAGGGACTGTTCATTTTTGTTTTCTGTATCTCTAGTGCATAGCATATAGTGGATACTTAATAAATACCAATCAATTGAGTGCTATTACATATTTAATTCAATTCAATAATGATTTATTAAGCCTTTCTATATACAAAAGACAAAACTAAACATCCCCGCGCTCAAGGAGCTTACATTGACTGGGAATAGTCAAAGAGGAAAAAACTGCTGGGAAGGGGAAGGAGAAAGTCCTGGGTTTGAGATCCTGGACAGAGCTGACCTCTTGATGAGATTTTCAAGTTTAAATTGCTGATCTACGTAGAGCTCATACCCTTTTCTTCATAATAATCCAAGATGAAGTATTTTAACATTATTTAACCAGCTAGTGATAGGCAATGAAAATAATAGCTTAAATTTACATTATACTTTACGGTTTACAAAGCACTTTTCCTCATAACAACCTCATTTCCCCCATTTTATAGGAGAGGAAACTGGCTCAGAGAGAGGCTATTTGCCCAGGTCAAATAGCTTTAGGAAATGTCAGAGCTGGCATTTTAACCAGCTCTCCCAGGTACATGAGTTGAGCATGCTTCCTACCCTATACCATACATGCAGCATTCCTGCCTGCCCCCAACTTTTATTTTTCTTTTCAGATGTAACATATTCATGAAAAGTTTTCCTCCTAAGATGCACCTCCATAGTTTCATTGTAGAGGTGGCAGAAAATGGTTATGGAACATCAAATATACTGGAAGACTTAGTTAATTTTTTAGTTAATTTTTCTGAACTAATTTTTCATCTCTTTTTTTTTTTAATAAGGAATGGCTTCTGGTGGGGCATATATTAGGAAACAAAAGTAATATTAATATAATAGATATAAATAAAATATTTTTAAATTATATCTTAGAATGTGAAGAATTTGTCTCCTATGACAGTAATGTCAAACTCAAATGGGAAATACAACTGATAATCCATACGTAAGGATCCTTACAGGTGGCATTATTGATTTTGTTTTAACATGTAATATTACCTATGTTTTGTTTTATTTTCAATTATATAAGTAAATATTTCTTAATTACAGTTTAATGTGGTGCAGCACACTTGGGAGTGTTGTGGGCCACATGGCAGAGTGTATGTGACATACCTTTGTACTAGAATATAACAGAGTGGGGGTGGGGGTGGGGTGGAAATGACCCAAACCCATTCAGTTGTTCAGATTTCTCCTACACTGGATATTTGGCATTAGACTCAATCCTTAATTTACCCAGCACTCTATTCTTTATTTATTTATTTATTTTTTGGTGAGGCAGTCGGGGTTAAGTGACTTGCCCAGGGTCACACAGCTAGTAAGTGTCAAGTGTCTTAGGTTGGATTTGAACTCAGGTCCTCCTGATTCCAAGGCTGGAGCTCTGTCCATGCACCACCTATCTACCCTCAATCCTTAATTTAAAAAAATAATTATTTCCAAATTTCTGTTGCGTTTCTTGGCTTCTATGACTTTCTTGGTATCTAGAAAACTTTCTCTTACTCTTCTGTCCTCCTTTGGCACACCTTATCTCTTCTAGTTTATCATCTTATCTATTCTGTTTGTTTATCACATACTGCATAGTTTTATTAGCTAGTTTTGTATGTATATGTTCTCTCCCCAACTAAACTATAAACTTCCTGAAGTCAGGGTCCAAGTCAGGGTCCATGTGTTGTATAGAGGGTATCCCAAATGTCTTAGTGCAGTTTTAAGCTATTAAAGCTAGTGTGTCCTGGTAGCCAAGCAGACGTCTGTAAGGCAGTTGCTCTAATGAACAGAAATTTAAACTGTTGAAGCTAACTAATGTTTTTTAGGCTATTAAAACTTACAGTTGCACTAAAACTTTTGGAACATTCTGTCCCTTTGTATTGCCCCAGTAGCGCCTTGTATGCAGTAGGGCTGAAGATCCCTTTCAGCTCTAAAAATGATTCAGTTCTTGGGCTTTAAAAAATAAAACGACATGTCCAGTACGACATAGATAGTGTAGAGCTAGGACTATATTTAGAGATTTTCAAAGAAGACAATTCCACACCCTCCCTTGGTAAGCTATCCTAAAGTCCGTAGTCTAAATATGTCTGTTTACGTCATTTCGTCTCCCTCATTCCCCCTAGGGCTCTCATATCATACACTACTCAACTGCCTGGGGTGGGACAAGAAGAAACAGATCTATTACAGCAGGAGGAATTCATAATCTATGGCAACTATAGACTCTAATTATGGAGGTCCTGAAACCACCTCCTTTCTACCCCACAGTAACCCACACCTCCCCATGGCTCTGCCTCTTACTATTTGTTATGCTACCTACTGGGGCCTTTGTCAGGGGTGGGATGTCAGAGTCAGCCCCTAGCCACTGGAGAGCTAATTGTTAAATTTTCAGTGTGAACATTTACACCTTGGAAATTGCTACAAATCAGGGCTTTATTTATCATTTTGTTGGTTGTCTGGACTTAAGAAAGTGATGAAGAAAATGTTAATAAGGCAAATTAAACTTAAAAGTATTGTTGCATACATTTCCCACTCAACCCCCACCCCCGAAAAAGCTGGTTGTTAAATATTTTCCAACACATCACTGCTTCTTTCCTCCTGAACAGAATGAAAGGTGTGGACTAAACTAATGGTAATTAATCATAGCTGACACTTGTATCATACTTTAAGGTTTACAAAGGCAGTTTTCCTGCATTATCATCTCATTTGATCCTCATTTCAGCTGAGTAAGGTCAATAGTGGAGGAATTATCTTCATTTTATATCCTATGATCTGATTCTCTTTCTAATGCTCTTTTCACTGAACTGTTGCATCTGTTAGTACACCAAATTGCCTCTCATGTCTTACTCTAGGAAGCAAAAGGACCAAGTTTGAGCCCTACACAGCTGTGTCACATATTATCTATATGACCATGAACAAATGTCTGGTCCCTCTGTGCCTCAGTTTCCTCACTTGTCAACTACAGATAATAAGGCAGAATGGTAGAATGGATGGAGACCTGGTCCTGCAGCCAGGAAGATCTAGATTCACATTCTGCTTTTGATACTTACTGACTGTGTGATGCTAGCTAAGTTATTTAACTTCAGAGTGTTTTAGGCAGATTTGCGAGACTACAATTTGTAGAGAAGGTGCCAGTCTGTACTGGTGAAAAGACTTTCCTCACTTGGGAGTTTAGGATAACACTCAAATCATAGATTCAGTCCCTATCCCTAATTCTTGCATTACTTGTCGCAATGTAAGTTATTCTTGGGCAGGTAGGTGGTACAGTGGACTGAGCTAGACTTGCAGTTAGGAAACCCTGAATTCAAATCCAATCTCAGATGTTAACTAGCTGTGTGACCCTGGGGAAGTCACCTAACCTGTTTGCCCCAGTTTCCTCATCAATAAAATAAAGATAATAATATTACCTACTTCCTAGGGTGACTGTGAAGATAAAATAGGATCATATTTGTAAAGCACTTTGCAAAACTTGAAGTGCCATAGCTAGAAGGAAACTTGTAGATCATTTAGTCTAAGATTATGAATTTGTATTTTTGTCTTTTTTTAATTAATTTTGCTTTACCAACAATCACTTCCATAGGCTTTTGAGTTTAAAATTTTTCTCCTCCCTCCACACCTCCCTCCCCAAGACGGCACATAATCTGATATAGGCTATACATACACATTCCTATTAACATATTTTCACATTAGTGATGTTTGTAAGTAAGAATTAGAACCAATAGGAGAAACCACCAGAAAGAGGAAACAAAACACAACAGAAGAAAAAAAATAGTAAATAGTATGCTTCAATCTGCATTCAAACTCCATAGTTCTTTCTTTGGATGTGAACAGCATTTTCCATCATGAGACCTTTGGGGATGTCTTAGATCCTTGCATTTCTGAGAAGGGCTAAGTCTATTATGAATTTGTATTTTTGAAAAATGTTTTGATAATTGTTTTCAATATAATTGGTTTTCTTTGTAATCCTATGTATTTCATTTCCTGCATTACATTGCTCTGAGAAGGGATCCGTAAGCTTTACCAGACTGCCAAAGGGGTCCATGAGACAAACAACATTAACAACTTGAGAAGCAGCAGAGGTTAGTGGAGACGCTGCTGGACTCCTGGTCAAGAAGGACTCAGGTTAAAATGCAGCCCTTGACATTTCTCAGCCTACAGCCCTGCCCCTGTTGTTTAATCTCTCCTTGTCTCAGTTTCCTCATCTGTAAAATGAGGTTACCTTTCAAGGTTATTGTAAGGCTCTCATGAGATCATTTAGAAAAAATGCTTTGAGACCTTTAAAGTAGGGTGTCTTTTTTTTTAAATAAATGCCCCACAAAGAGATGAAATAATTTGGCAAAGATTACAGTGACACCAACTAGCGGACATGGGATTTGAACCCAGCTCCTCTGACTCAAAAGCTGGTCCTCTTATCTATACCACCAACCATCCCTACTTAAATGAATGAATAGGTAAAGGAAGGGAAGGAAGGAGATGGAGGCAAAAGAGAGGAAGACAGTCAGGAAGGAACTTTCAAGGGACCAGTTTATCTGTATAATTTGACCTCTCAAGATTTTCAAAGAAGGAAGTTCCACAAACTTGCTTGCTAACTAAATTGTCCCAAAGTCCACAATCCAGGAGGAATCTGTCTCATCTAATCTCCTTAGCCCTCCTAGTCCTTTATATGGCTGTGCTACCATCACCACTGCTTCCTTCTGTCTAAAGATGTGACAGCCAAAGGATCTGTTAGAGATGCCTTCCAGCCAACAGAACTTGGATTTTCCCCTTTACCAGTGGTCAAATGGAGGAGTTCCTATTTCTTTCTTTAGATCTAACCCTCTACTTACTATAGATGGTTTGATGAGGAGACCCATCCACGTGGCCATCTTTGTGGATCTGAAGGTGGAAGCTGTTCCTGGCTGTGGCCGTGTACAGGTGAGTCAGGCCCCCCCAGCCAAGGCTGAGCAGGGGGGAAGCATTGGGGAAGGCTTGGATGGCTCGAAAGCTGCACAGGGCACAGAATAGGAGTCTGAGGCAACCCCCTGACATCCTGGTGTTCTCTGAATGGCTGAGGTGGAGGGGTCGAAATCAGACACTTTCCCTCACTTCTGCCTGATTAGAGCTCTCTTCTTCCTCCCTGTGAATACTTAGACTGGGAATTCTGTTAAGTCTCCCTTCTTTTCTTACAGGGACTTTTAAAGGGCAGCAGTGTGACATCAAACAGGAAAACCTCTGCTGTCCACATCCTCTGTGTTGTCCATTTGAAGAAAGTGCAAAGACCTCAAAGGCACACGGAAGGCATGTTGGTTTCCCTAGAGAGAGAAACACAGTTGTACACACACACACACACACACACACACACACACACACACACACACACACACACGCACACACACACACACACACCTCAATTTCAAGCCAGCTTTCCAAAAAATGGATGTGTGGGCAAAAATTATCTGCAATTCTGGAATGTCTGTTGACCTGCTCCACCCACCTCCACCAGGAAAAGAGAAGGCAGTAGCCTCCCAAGTGACCTAGCTTCAGACAGGCGCCTGAAATCCTATTGTAATCCTGTTAAGCAATAAATAATTAAATTTTTTTTAAAAATGGAATTGTTGTGGGTTCAAAAACAAGGTACCCCGAAATAAAATTGAATTTAAAAAAATGAGTTGGTCTTTTTATTAAAACAAAAATAACTTGCTTCAGCCTTTTTTTTTGGTCAGGGCAGAACGAGGAAAAAAGGGGATGAGTCCAACAGAAGGGTAAGCCTTTGCTATGGGATCGTATGGGCAGAGAATTTAATATTGGAAAGGCCGAGGAAACTGAGGCCCAGCAGTATTAAGTAGCTTACCAAAGAACATATAATGAAGTAACTAGGTGGTGTAGTGGGTGGAGCACAAAAGCGGAGTTCAGATACAGCTAACTAGCTGTGTGAACCTGGACAAGTCATTTAACTCAGCCTCAGTTTCCTCATCTATAAAATGGGGAAAATAACAGACCAACCTCCCAGGGTTGTCATGAGGATAAAAAGAGATTGGATTTGTAAAGGTTTTTTGCAAACCTGAAGGCACTATATAAAGGATAGCTATCATTAATAAGGAGAAAAGCCAGGATTTGAATTTAGTCCTTCGGACTCCAGAGCCAATGGGCTTGGCACTGTCTTCTGCTTCCAGGTCAAGGAGCTTCTTTCTCTGTGGGAGTGAGACACAAGGGCCTGAGTCTAGGCCCCAGGAGAGCAAGAGGCTTAATTTTTAACTAGTGGTGAATTAGGGACTTTGGGTTTTTTGTTTCTGTTTTGCTTTATTTTGGTTTTGTTACATATTAAACATCCAACAAGTATCATTTTAAAAAAATCTGCTTCCTCATATTCCTTCTTTTATGCCTGTATTCCAGAATCAGGAGACTTGGTCTAAGCTCTCTCTGGGCCTTAGTTTTCTCATCTGTAAAATGGGGCTTGGACTAGATGATCCCTAAGAGTTCCCATTCAGCTTGGATATTCTGTGATTCTCTGACCAAATTAATTGATCAAGGATGTAATGAGTGTCTTCTTTATGTCCAGTAAGATACTATGGAGAATATTTAAGTATAACCAGTGTGAAAAATCCTTTCCTGAGGCACTTTGGGGAGGTACAGAGCCTGACACTATCTCCACCTCTTGATATCCTAACTAAACTTTAAGGTCCCGCTTAAATCCCACCAATTTAAGGTTGACAAAACACTTATTATCTCCGTTTAACAGATGAGGAAACAGACTCAGGGGAAGTAAAGTGACTTGCTTATGGACACACTGGGGTTAATTCATTGAGTCAGAATTGAAATACAGGTCACCAGACTCTGAGTCCAGCAGACATTAGTTCGTATTATTCTTCACTTTTACATACTTACTCTAATTTATATCATGTTTATTTGTATCTACTCTACATATGCCCTTGGTCTCAACCCCTCTCATCTTCTCCAGCAGATTGATCTCTCAGTCATCACCTCTATAATCTTCAGTCTCTATTTCCTTTCCTTAATTCCTTCAAATATAGTTGTCTCTCAGAGCCTTAAAAAACCTTCACTAGACCCTGCTATCCCCTCAAGTTATTGTCTTTTCTCTCGCCTCCTTTTCTCAGCCAAACTTGTAAGGGGAAAAAAAAACCCAACCCTGTCTATATTGGTTGCTTCCACATCCTCTCCTCCCTCTCACTTCTCAGCCCTTTGCAGTCTGGCTTCTGACCTCATCACTCAACTGAAACTGCTCCGTCCAAAGTTACCAGTATTCTCTTGGCCAATCTGATGGGCTTTTCTCAGTTCTCATCCTTTTTGTTTGTTAGTTTGTTTTGGTGAGGCAGTTGGGTTAAGTGACTTGCCCAGGGTCAACAGCTAGTGTCAGGTGTCTGAGGCTGGATTTGAACTGAGGTCCTCCTGACTCCAGGGCCCGTGCTCTGTCCATGGCCCCCAAGTTCTCATCCTTCTTGACCTCTCTGATGTAATTTAATACCTTCTCTTCCTGGACATATTCTCCTTCTAGGTTTTTGTGACATTATTCTTTTCTGATTCTTCCCTCCCACCCATCTGACGACTTTCCTTTGCTGGATGACCATCCATCCAATGCCCCCTATATAAGAATGTACTCCAAGCCTCCGACCTGAGCACCTGTCTCTTCTCTCTCTACATTCATTAGCTCCCATGATTTAATTAACAGCTGTATACAGATAATTTCCTGATCCATGTATCCAACCTGAGTCTTTCTCCTGAGTTCTAATTCTGAACACTTAGTCCAATAGACAAATTAGGTAGACTTCTCAAATTCAGCATGTCCCAAACAACTCATGTTTCCTCCAAATCTCTTCTATCAAATGTGTTGCTGTTGTTCTAGTCTCTTGGGTTCATAACCTCAGCCTTCTCCTTCACTCTTCATTCCCAATCCCCTCCTTTCCCCCATATCCAATTTGTTGTCAAAGTCCTGTCTATATGCCTCCTCTTCTCTGACCCTGCCACCCCTCTGGTTCAGGCCCTGATCTCCTCACTCCTGTACTTTTGTAGTAGCCCTCTGAGTTGACCTTGCCTCACACCTCTCCCTACTCCAATCCATCCTCCACTCAGCTGTCAAATTAATCTTCCTGAGGCACTGGTCTGGCTACATCACTCACCCCTCACCCCCATCCTATAAACCATTGGCTCCTTATCACCTTTGGGTTCAGCTACAAAGTTCTTTGGCATCTGGAGCCTTTCATAATCTGGCTTCCTCCTACCTTACCTTTGCAATCTTCTTACCCCTTACTTGCCCCCACATACTCTGTGGTCCAGTCAACTGGCCTCTTTGCTGTTTCTCACACAAGGCATCCCATCATCTCCTGACTCTGGGCATTTTCATTGGCTGTTCTCCCGTGTTCAGAATGCTCCTCCTCCCCGTCCTACCTTCTGGCTTCCTTCTAATCACAGCTAAAATCTCGCCTTCTACAGGAAGCTTTCCGGTCCCCCTTCACCCTAGTGCCTTCCCCCCACTGATGATCTAATTCTCTCCAATTTAACTATATTAATATTATTAATTATATATAGCTATGTGTAATATAGTTATATATAGTTAATATAATATATAGTTAATATATTAATAATAGTGTTATATTAAAAGTTATATTAAATATATAACTTCTTTATGTATAGTTGTTTTCATATTGTCTTAGACTAACTCCTTGAAAGCAAGGACTGTGTGGGTTTTTTTGTTTTGGTTTGTTTTGGTTTTTTTGTATCCTCAGCACTTGGCACAGTTCCTGGCACATGGACACTTAATAAATGCTTGTGGCCTTATTTGACTGATTGTCCCAGACTTATCTTCCCCTATTCTAAGTTCCTTAAAGGCAGGAACTAAGCTAACTTTTTTTTTTAACCAGATCTGAGATGTCATCTGTGTGGAAGCTACCAGTAAGGGACTCCCCATACCAATACAGATTGGTCCCAGTTCTGTGACTTATCTTAGAGACTTGTCTGGGGGCACTGAAAGGTTAAATAATTTGTCCAGGGTCACTCAAGCAGTCTGCTTCAGAGCCCAGAGACCAGCTTTCTATCCATCACACCATGCTGTCTTGTTCAACTTTGGATCCCTCCTAGTACCTGGCAGAATTCTGTGTGCATAAAGTAGGTGCTTTAAAATTATTTGCTGAATGTTTAATGAATGAATAATCCAAGTATGGGACAATGCAATGCAAACATATTTTCAACACATTCTGTGTTCACAACACTGAGTTCTGGGGGAGATACAAGATTTAGATAGGGCAGAAACCCTGTCCTTATGTAGCTTACTGTCTGGTAAGAGATAGAAGAAGCCCAAAGGTTACTGTTGCTACTCTAAACTCCAAGATATATTCTCTTAGTCCCACCCATTTAAAATATCCAGATTCTTAACCAGAAGTGATCAGACTCTGAAAAAAAATTTGCTCATGCTACCCCTACTCATAGGTAATTTCATATTGAAATTTGGTTTGGGGCGGCTAGGTGGCGCAGTAGATAGAGTACCGGCCCTGAAGTCAGGAGTACCTGAGTTCAAATCTGGCCTCAGACCAAACACTTGACACGTATTAGCTGTGTGACCCTGGGCAAGTCACTTAACCCCAATTGCCTGAAAAAAGAAAAGAAAAGAAATTTGGTTTACTAGTTTCTTTTCTTTAGGATGCAATCAGGATAAAGTGGCTTGCCCAGAGTCACACAGTTAAGAAGTCTCTGAGGCCAGATTTGAATTCAAGTTCTCCTGATTCCAGGGCTGGTGTTCTGTCCGCTGTACTACCTAGCTGCCCAGGTTTACTAGTTTCCAGTGGGAAACTTCCCTGTAGCATGGCCAAATAGAAAGAGTTCAAAACACAAGTTAGGAAACATGAGTTTTTAATTCAGATTTTGCCCATTTACTAGCTGTGTGATCCTGGGCAAGGCACTTAATTTCTGTTTGCTTTAATCTACTGGAAAAGAAAATGGCTAACCATTCCAGTATCTTTACTAAGAAAGCCCTATGGACACGATGGTCCACGGGGTCACAAAGAGTCGGACACAAATGAACAACAATAAAATTGTAATTTTATTCATTTTATTAAAGTATTTCCCAATTACATTTTAATGCGGTTTGGGTAACACAGACTGTTGCAGCAACAGGCTACATGTTACATCTCTGCCTTAAAGTGTATATGAGGGGAGTTATCCTCTTCATCATCATCATTGTTAGCTAGCCCAGCTCCTTGATCTCAGGTGGATTAGATATTGATATTATCCATATTTTATATGTCA